GGATATGAGATGATTATAGCCAACTCGGCGCTACGCGCCTCGTTGGCTATCTATCATCTCATATCCAACGCGCGCTCGTGGAATAATTGTTAATTAGAGTATATAGATTAGGTTTAGGAAGATTAGCAAGCAATGTAAAAATTATGGAAAAGGGAATAGCGAGTACTGACTATGCGGCAATGCGTTAGGTATGTCTTCAAAATGACTTTCAATTAGCGTCTTTCGTCCTTACTAGCTCAGAAATAATGGTCCAAAACGTGAACTGTCAAATTTGGTTATCTTAGTTCGCATCTTTAGTCCTCGTAAAAGCTTATTCCTTGTTCAGTTTTCGAAAATGCAGTGATACTGGTCTGTGTTAAGCCCATCTTGGTTGACAATACCCAAGGTGACCTGGGGCAGGGCTTGCTCAGTCATTCCGCTCGACATCAGCGATATACACCGCCAACGGGAACTTAACACAGCGGCACCAGTGCCCCTGCTAGTTCAACTAAACTAGCAAGGGAACACAAACTATTCTTATTTTAGCTCATGTGGACGGGAACGGCATGTGGGAGAGCTAGGTGGGAGTGAACTACAATATACTCGACACTCGCAAAGGATTAACCTGCTTTTCTCTAATAAAACCGGATTTGGATCGAAGCTATGTGCCCAATTGAACCAGTTTAGTCCAAGGAAATTGGGAAAAAACGGCCCACCAGTTAATGTGTGAGAAAGAACTAACAAAGATGATGTTTATTTACAATTGGAAAGTCTTTCAGTCAAAGAGAGGCAAAGAAAAGATAGGGAACGAAGTAAAACCTCAAGTAGAGGCAAAATTTGGAGTAAAAGCAGGGGGAAGGACAAAGCTCTACAAGAAGAATGAAAACATTTGCATTGTCACGTAAATACAGGTTCACGACGTATTTGAATTGAAATGAAACAAACTAATATGCATGAAACATTATTTTGAAGTTTGCTGTTATCAAATACACACCTCCGCTTCCAGGGTATGGAAGCACTACGTGTTTAGTGTTACACTTGTCGCCTGTACAGCAATGAATTTTACATTCTGTTAACTTCCAAAGTTTACGATCTTTCACCAAACCAGCGATAGCCGCACAAGCTGCCTCTTCATCTAGGAAAAGGAGGAAAAGTCATAAGGCAGGGGAAATTGTTCTTAATTTGCTATTTTTTTCATGATTTACTTTCAAAGGAATCGCTGTGTACCTTGAATTGACTTATCATAATTATTGAAAATTATTGAATCAAGATGAAAAGGGATGGGCTAAAAAAAAAAAAAAACAGAACCCTTTTTTTTCGGAGAAACTATTTTACTTAGCGTGAAAAACAAAATAAATTGAGGCACCCAGCGCATTAAAAAGGTCGTCCGCCATGATATTGGGAATTTTTAACTGCTCATTTTGGGTTATGGGTCAAAAGGGAAAAATATCTCTCTTTGAATTCCTCTTCTTTGCGTTGCGATACGTGATAAGTCGATCAGTTTCTCTATTTCTATTGCAAGTGTTTACCTTCGCATGAATCGATACATCCCTGGATGTAACCATCCCTAGGTGAGTCAGATTGTAAACTCGATTCATCCCAATATCTGATTGCTGCGGCATAACATTGCCTGGTACCAAGTGATTCTCGATCTGTGGCACAAACTTGGATTTTCCCGTCGAAACACTGTCCACCGTTAACTTTGAGGCAATACAGACACTGCAGACTTTGTCCCGATGCTTTCAGGAAGAATGATAAATGGTTTATTCAGATTGAAACATGACTGAAATGTCTTGAGATATTAAATGGTGCATGATTCATTCTTAATTATATCTCGTAATTCATGATTCTGTGGTGTGAAACACGAAAATCCAGGATGCTTTTTAATTCAACCGTTGTAATTTACGATTCCACTTCTGCCATTAAAGTTCCTTGCTACGTCTGACTATTTCAATCCGAGTGTAGTTTGGTATTAGAGCTCATTTCTGCTGTGGTCAACGTGGCAAAACAAGTGGCTGAAGGGACTCCCGCTCCAGGATCTCAGAGCAGGTGGAAAATTCTTTCTCCAAAAAAGAGGTTAGATTCCAACTTCGTGATAAAATATACGATGAACTCGCTAAATTAACTACAACATTTAACAGAAGTGAAGATTTCGAAACTTCGTAAATTTCAAAACGAATAAGCGACAAATTTGCGCTGGAAAAAAGCTAAAAAAACTAAATCTCAACTCCGAGAAGCGACAACAAGAAATTGTCCACCTCAATTTCCAAGGGCATGGTTAAAGTCTGGGACGCGATTGGCTCTAATTCTGAGATCAGATACGTAGCGAGTGAATACAAAAAAGATATACCAAGGGAGGGAAGGGGGGGGTATGAGAGGAAGAGAAAATTTAGTTTAGTTTGAAGTATGAAAACGTAAGGCATATTTACAATCCATATTAAGAGATGACAATCTCTTACCTGGGGGCCGAAACACGAGGACTGATGTGGCGTCTGTTAGCGTTGGGATATGGGTGTTACAGTTATTACCAGAGCAGCACGTGATTTCGCATTGGCCGAGCGACCAACGTTTGTTTGCTTTGACATATCCACCAATAGCAGAACAAGCTATCTTCTTTTCTGAAATGAAAAATAGAAACTAAAACCATACACATTGTCTCATCATTTCAAACTTGATGAGAACAAGCGCATTCAAGAGAGCGTTTCAACCCGTTCACTTCCAAGATCTGATTAGTAATTCTCTTTACTGTCTACCATACAGCTCTCATGATGCTAGTTTGGAGAATTTGGTGTTAGATCAACTTATTATCTCCTAATTGATATTTTTCTAAAAGCTAGAACAGATGATAATTTGAAAACATAAAAGATGAACGATAGACCGAGTAAATTCATCGTGTCTTTAAATTTGACAACAAATGAACAGAAAACCAAGATGTTAAGTGACAGTTATATTTCGGTATAAACTATACCATCATCAGACTGAAAATACATACAAAATTAGGAGCTTAAATAGTTACAAAAGGTATACTCAAGAGAACAGGCAAGGTTCTCTGCTGGATTTCAATCCTTTGTTAAGTGGTGGTGAATGGCGCTTAATGTGGAAGACCTCTTTGTATAACAGGTTTCAATTATCGTCATAATCTACTACTGTGGTGTTATTCTGAACTACATTGATTGCGTATTCATTATTACCGGAAACAGTTGGTGCAATCATTTTATTTTATTTTATTTTGATTTTATTGACTTATTTATTTATTTATTTATTTTTTTTTATATTTTAATAATAATATATAACATATATTTTTTACAATTTTAAATTGAGTTTAGGAGCGTGCTGTTGTTACAGAAGTCGCTCCCTCAATTTTAACACCTAACTTTTATGTTCATTTTACACACTCATTCCCACCCTTGCATACGCTTTGTCCTTTTTTTACCCACTGATCACGAGTTTGCTCATCAGTGGAGTGGGAACCCATTTTCATGGGATCCCATACATCAACACCAAGGGAAGCCACAAAGGTTGCTAGTGAAACTACTGGTTAATATATTTAATACTATACAAACAAGCGCCATTCACCACCACTTAACAGTGAACTAAAATCCAGCAGCGAACTTTGCCTGTTCTCTTGAGTATACCTTTTGTAACCATTTAAGCTCCTAATTTTGTATGTATTTTCAGTCTGATGATGATATAGTTTATACCGAAATATAACTGCCACTTAACTTCTTGGTTTTCAGTTCATTTGTTGTCAAATTAAAAGACACGATGAATTTACTCGGTCTATCGTTCATCTTTTATGATATTTTCTCCTTATTCTTATCACTTGTTTGCTTGATATTGTGAGAAGAAATGATCTCTTGGTCACTCAGGAATTTGAAAGGAGATATGCAGAGACCCACAGAACTCTTCCCAGCATCCCCTATTAAATATTGGTCCTTGTAAATTGCAGAAGGACAAAAAGCCGACGTTTTCTATCTGTTACGAAGATTATTATATATTTCACAAACTACTTCGCTGAGCAACAACAACAACAACAACATTTATATAGCGCAAACTACTATATAGATAATCAGTCGCGCTTTTACAATCAGTTAAGGTGAGATTGGACGTCAGAATTCATCAGGCGCAATATGCAGCCACTTCAGTCCATGTATTGAACTCACCTTCCCTCCCCAATTCACCCTAGAGTAGACACTACACAAAGATAGACCACAACACCGGGCACTACGTGCCAACTGTGTTGACCCTTTTTCTTCTCATGACGCTCTTTTGGGGTGGACTACTAAAAACAAGGTTGATTTAAAATGGTTGGAGACAACGTACGTACGTTCAACATTAGGACACACTCATGTTTTGATTGAATAATGTAATCGATTGGTCAAATTGTGTATCTCTCCCTTAACTGACTATCTATCACGGAATATATAGCGATAAGCGAGAAAAATCAGATTGCAGCGGCCATTTGTAATGGTGCCCCATTACGCTAAATCGTAATAGACCTGGTCTTCTCGATGATTAAAAAATGTTTGTCTTGGAGGGCTTGTAGATTTTCATTAAAACCCCCAAATTATTTGTTCTCGTTTTTATGCATGTTTCATACGTAGTTCGGGTTTCGCCCGTACCAACTATCACACGATAAGAATGTCTAGCCCATAATACCGTAGTAAGTGCTTTAGTTACGTTTCCGACCTTTTGGATTCTCACAATTCAGTAAATTTTGTGCCCTATATGGTCACATGAACTTAAAATTGTAAACATGATGATCACGTCTTTCTAAGGCCGTTGATTGATCAAGTAACAACCACGTGCAAAAGGAGATCTAACGTTACCTTACGTATTTTACTGTATTGCAAGCTTTCAATCACTAAGTTACCTGAACAATCCACACAGCCTCGATAAAAGCCATTCACATTGTTTCCATTTTGGTCACGAAATAACCCAACCACCGAGGCACAGTGGCTCGTACCCAGTGATTTTTCACTCGAAGCGCAAAACTGAGGCTCTTGATTCGTCTTACATGAGGCTGGATCACTCTCGAAGCAACCATTACACTCAGCTGTGGGATCACAAAGCGGATTCTTTGTTAAAATACAAATGATTAAAAAACATCGGTTAATCCCATCCTGATTTTGGGAATATCAATTTAATTTCGGTTGTTTGGCTTATCATGACATGATATTTGAAAGAACGATGGCGACCGATATCTTTACCATCGGCCTGCTCCACTGGGCAACAAAAGAGATGACGAATGGTAAAATTTGATGTAAAGACTGTTGCTTTTGACGAGATGATATTTCCCTAAAACGTCAAAATATTCACTTTATGTGAAAACTGGCCTGATCCTTTATGACTGCATTCATTGCCACGGAATAGCTTTCTTCCTGCATGCCTTTTTCCCGCCGGCTTTCTTTTGTACTTTTCCTTTCCTAATTTTACCGACGTGATACTCAGACTCCTTAGAATTGTTTTTGGCTGCTTAAGGATCATTGGGATCTTTTTCTTTGAAAAAAACCATCGTCATCGTTTTTTATTCGTGAACATACATAATGCGGCAAAATCCAAAATCACGAAAGATTCTGCAGAGCATGAACCATGGCAAGCTTTGGATGATTGTACGTACCTGTAAACATGCAAAAAAAACAAGCTAGTAAAAACAGGCCAGTGCCTATAAAACATGCCAGTATTTCATTAATATCATCTCACTGATGGGCTAAGCAGAATTTCACCTAAAATAACCGTGCTAAAATGAATTTATTCTCTGTTTAGACTGAAAACATATAAAAGCAATGTGAAAAATCAACTTACCGGTCACTGGAAACACAGATATGGCAGCTGGGGTGATTGTTGGGACCCCAGTGTTACAGTATCGCGTCTGGCAGCAGTCGATTGCACATTTTTGCATCGTCCACTCTCTATCCCTCTTAAAAAAGCCACCTAAACTGAAGCATGCTTGTTTTGCGCCTGGATTGCAGGAGAAAAACACAACCAAAAAGAAAAGGTTAAGCGTGTGGTTTACTGTAGTTCTGAATAGCAATGCATCTCTTTTAACGCGCTGTAACGCAAGAAAGCGAAAAGAACCTTTGATAAAAAAAAAAACGGGGTCAGTCCGTTCGCATGTACGTTTTTTTCATGTGTCGGGATTAGAGACATCCATGTGAGCTTTGTTCCCTTCACGTCCGGGAGGACGAGTGACGGGAAAATCACTTATATAATACTCTAGGCCGTATTAGCAGTCACAACGTATCCTGAAAATGATGTGATTGGCTTCAGACAGTATCTAAAACAATTACTAACATAATATTGCCGAGAGAATCTGTATTCACAAGCAACCATACCAAGACTTTGGAGAGGATGGCTAAAAAAGGCCAAGTCTTCGCCCCCTTAGATTTAAATATATGACTTGGGAGCATGCCCCCCCCTCCTAATATTCTCTGGGAAGATTCCACTGCGCGACGCACTTTTTTTTTTCAGCCACCCCCGTACAATTTGCTGAATTTTCCCAAGTCTATGAACTTACTTGAGCATTCAAGGCATCCTCGAAAGAAGGATTCATGGACTTTTCCAGCCTTGTCGCGGTATTGTCCCAAAACAGAGGCACAATACGTTGAGCCTAGTGACTTGGGATCCGTCACACAGGTTTGACTCCGTTCGCTGGCTGCGCAAGTACCTGCATCTTTTTCACTGCAAGCGTTACACTTTTTGGGCCAGTCAGCTGCAAGAAA